ATTTTTGGGCGCGAATAGCGAATAAAAAAACCATTAAAGGAAGCGCGAATAAGGAACATCTAATATATTTATTTTTAGATAAATTTGAATTTAGAAATAAATTTTGATTTACTTTTTTACCGCGAAAGAAAAATTTTCTATGAATTTCTTGGCCCATTTCCGATACTAATAATTTTTTATTAAATCGATATCAATCGGAAGGGTTAATAAAAAGAAAAAAATATTTTTTCTTCAACAAAAATTGTTTTCCTTTAATTAAAAATATATTTCGACTGTTGATTACGGTCGATTATTATATATGATGGATTAATATTGATAAGGTTTGAGACAAAAAAAATTATCAACAGTTAATGACTAAATGTCCTGGCGGACCAAAAATTCATCTAGAAATCAGTTTATTATGAAGAATTGGCCAGACCGATCACGTTACAATTCTCAAATACCAAATCTAAAACCTATATAGCACGATTCTCAACTGATGTTAGTAAGAGTTCCAAATTGTTCTCTAATTTCAAGAACTTTTCTTTTATCTTATTTTGTCTTCAAATTATATTTGATTGGGGATGATATTTGAAGATTTTATACACATATTTATTTTACCAACCGTAAAAATTACTCAGCACATATATGTTATATATATATACATATAGCATAATTACTACCTATAATTTACCTTCCTGGCGATATATTTTGTTTGGCCGCTGGAACCATGTATCACATTTCGTAAAATACATTCCGAACGTTAATTTATAATTCGGACACAAATTTTATTATTGTGTACTGAAATATTTTTTATATATATTAAACGATCAGAGCTATTAACAGAATTCTTTAAGTTAGAGGGCTAAATTATGCTGTAATAATTTGTATAAATTTTTATAAATCCTTAATATAATAAGGATGAACGAATTTGTATTTTTTCGGAAAATATTTATATGTGCTTTGCACTTTATGTGCATTTATGTAAGAATCTATAGTTCCATTTATTAACTTTCAATTGCCAGTTGGACATGCTTCTATTATTGACAGGAAATTATGTTTTATATTCTGTTATAAATAATTGATGTATATAGTTTCAGGCGAGCATCTTATATTATTGATTACATTTCCAATATTTTCAATGGCTATCATCATTTCTTAACGTTTTCCAAGAGTTAGCTTTTCTTTTGGTTAAGTATCATTTTATGCGATCTGTTTTACTGTTAACTTTATTCTACTTTGATATGTAAATGTGCATCAGAAATAAGTGGAATCACTATATTATGCATTTTGGGATAAAAGATATTTTACTTGTCGGTTCTTCATTTTTTGTACCTCTGCAAACTTTGGCCCTTAATTTTTCCTGGCATTTTGTCTGTTTTTTTATCGATAACTAAATAAAATAAATAAGTGACGTTTTTTGAAATTTGAAATACATTCTTTTAGATAGATGTTGGCATTTATGCATATGCAAATTCGTCGATTATTGGATAGTTTTCATTGCGCTGTATGCTTTTATTATTGTTTTGTGTAAACTTGCAAATTGGTTCACAAAAGAGAATGATTTTATAGTTTGTATGATTATTTTGATCGTTAAAATTAAGTAACATCTTTAAGTAGTTCTACTCGTTTTGATGCAAAGTTAGATACGCTTTATGAATGATTATGCGACTTACTTTATAATTCATTAGCCTCTGTACTACATTGTATAATATGTAGCCTCTGTACTACATTGCATAATATGTAGTGTTATTTGTAATTCATGTCTTTAGATGCGTAAGTAATATTTATAATTTTTTTTATTATTGTTAGCATTGGCTATTTTAAAGACCCCCACCCGTTCCGGATTAGCATATCAGAAAATTGCCGTCCGGGTTTTGACTTTAAACAATATGGTCACCTTATAAATAAGAATGCAATATGAATATATTATAATCTCATATTGTCTAGGCTGACCCTTAAATATTGGAAAACCCTGTAAATATTATTCATATGTACATATAGTTTTCACGATTAAAGTATATTAATTGATACAATTTAAGTGTATGAAGTAAATTTATGATGTGTAACATCCGAAAGAATTTGCAATTTGTCACAAAATTGCCAAGAATTATATTTTATTCTCTTTAGTGAATTACAATCTGTCTTTACAAACAAGAAGACTTTCAGCAATTTTGATGATATATGGAATATTAAACATTAGATCTAAAAGGTTACCCAGTAGTAAGCCTTTTCAATTTTGATATATTAAAGTTAAATTTTGTGATTATATAGAGTAAACTTAAAAATAAAATGATCTATGAGGTAAATGAGTATAAATTGTGAATTATAACAACAAATAAAAAAACATAACTAAGCACAATAAAAATAAATAAAAATATAAATATACAACTAAATAAGTAGTACTGCTAATTAGAATGAATATATTATATATGATGTGGAGGTCAATGTGAAAATTGTCACGAATTATCGTAATAGTACTACAAAAAATAATATTTCTAACAGATACAATACCTTATTATAGTTACATCATAATTATAATAATTTTTATTCTGAAGCCTTTTATAATTATGCCATGAACTATAAATGAATGTAATGAATATAATCAGAAATGTTTCTGAACATTTTGGCATACCTTAGAAGAAATTATTGCGTGCGTATGTATGCATGTGTGTGCGGATACATTTTTTCGTCTACGTTTTCGGGAGCACCGCTCAAGCGATTTGATTCCATTTTTTAAAATTGCCATTCAACAGTCTGGAATAACCGAAAAATCATATATTTTCGACAGTCTGGATAAACCGACATGAATGGGTATTATAAGCTTTCCAGAAATGACAAAATTCTCAAAAAAATCTAAAGCTTTTAAAAGTTATAAATTACGTTACGGGAAGTTCCAGAAGTTTTCCTCTCATAATATTCATTCCTTGTTTCTACCAGATTAATATGTTGGAAAAAATATATAACAATATGTAGGTAAAAATGTATAGATAATTTTAGCAATAACTTGTTCTGTTGAAAATTTTCGTAAAATTACTATTTTTGAAATCTAAGTAAATTTGGGTTTTATATAATAGCTCATTATTACATACCTTTAAAAAAAACACAGTATTTTTTTAAATTTCGGCATTTGGTACAATATAGAAACGCTTCATTATAATTTACCTACTATTTATAACCTAATACAATTTTCTATACCCCACGTGCTGTCGGCAGCCTGTTTATGAGCGCGATATATGCGAAACAAGATATGCTCATACTTGTATTGTTTGTTTTGTGATTCCTTCAAGTGAAACATGTTGATGTTTTGGGGTACGATAGGTGAAAGGTGAATTGTGGAGCGAGCTGGGGCGACAAGGTGTATAGGGATGGCGTTGGTGACTGGTGGAGGATGGTTAACCCCATCAGCTGCGGTGAAAACGTATAGTCGTGCATACCGCTTGTACGCGTTCGAAAGTAAAAGTAACGCGAATACACTACTGAACGGAGCATCCAGACACGCCATATACACATGCTCCTTACGGGATGGAACTCTCAAACTATATTGAGACATCAGTTTTCTTACTAAACCTGAAAGTTGTGCTATTCAATTTATGAAATTAAGGGTGTGTTCTATTGTAGAAATCACAACACATCGTTTTTTCATATTTTCGATTGTTTCTGGAAATACAGTTTTTGGCCATAATAATCCTTCTTCTATTTACTTTCTTTTGCGAAATGCGTTTTTCTCAAAACTATCTTTTTTAATACGATACCCACGATTTCTTAAGTTCTACAGAACCGATTTACTTAAAATTTTCAGAGAATCTTCTTTATAGACTTCTCTCAGGCATATATACTAGCCCTATCTCTAAATTTTAATTTGTACGATTTTTTAAATAATCGAGAAACTCAAAAAAGTGGTAAGAATTTTTTTAACTTAATCTAAATATATACCATCGCGACATCATTCTAGATAATTAATCTTTTTTTTTTCATTTTATGTTACTAGGAGGTGGGTTGCAATCGTGGGCATGGTCACGCGTCAACAGTTTGAGACCCTCTATTTCAACCACTGCTAATTTTTAAATTTTAATTTTTTTCTTTTCTCCTGTAACGTTGATAAAAAAAATATCAAACAGGTGATACTGTTAAAGGAATTGCCTTTTTACGATGATTTAAAAATGACTTAAAATTAATGCCTCTACACTAGAATACCCCCTTAATCGATTGATATAGAGAGAAGTATCTGTTTTTTATTATTGAAACATTAACATTATAAAACTAATACTAGAAAATTTTTATATTTTATCTTTATTCTTGCTTGATTCATCAAAAGTTTCATCAAAGAGCAGTTCATCAGGATTGCAAAATGGTAAAATACCAGTAACTATACTACTTACTATACTAGAAACTTCAAATTTTCTCTATTCCAGAAAAGAATGAACAGAAAAAAACTGTTTAAATAATTCAATGAGGATTTACCTTATGCATCATTCATAATAAGTATATGTTTATATAAGTAAATTTTTAATACTGTGAATCTTAATTATTTCGTTATTTTACTGTTTAAATTATGATTTACGTACAGAACCATATTTTCCAACATTTTCAGTTCTCCAATATATTTTAGTAAAATAAAATATTCGTTTCACCTGATCAAACGCTCATTGAAGAATTTATGCATGTAATGCAACGGTATCAATATTTATGATATTTCGCTTATACATATATGTTTACAAAATCATATGTGACATAAACCGATTTATAAATATTACATGAAGCAATACTAATAGCCTATATTGTTATCTGGTCCGCATGCCATTGACCTACTTTCCTCAATGATTACTGGCATTCTTTGTTATTGTTCTTTTTTTCATATACAAATGCAGTACGTACGTATGTGTTTTATATGA